CAGGACCTCCATACACACTGCCCAGGCTCCCACCCCAGGGAGGTCACTTCAGGGCTGCTAACTCAGCGGTTTGGCTTCACCTCCAAAGGCATACTCCATTGTCTCTCAAGGCAGACAGATGCCAACAATAACAACCGTAAAAATAAGGTGGGTCTCCTACTGGTGTGGTCTACAGTGGTACCTCGGGTTACATACACTTCAGGTTACATACGCGTCAGGTTACAGACTCCACTAACCCAGAAATAGTGCTTCAGGTTAAGAACTTTGCTTCAGGATGAGAACAGAAACTGTGCTCTGGCGGCACGACAGCAGCAGGAGGCTCCATTAGCTAAAGTGGTGCTTCAGGTTGAGAACAGTTTCAGGTTAAGAATGGACCTCCGGAACGAATTAAGTACTTAACCCAAGGTACCACTGTACTTACTCCGCGGTTGGCAACCTTTTTTTGGTCCAAGGGCCAGATTTTTATCTGAGGGCCAAGCAAGCGGGACCAAAGAGCAGTGCTGTAAATAAATCCCTTGGCAAAGGGAAATGAATCATCTTTGCTGGGTGCAAACAAAACAACAATGCAAACACAAGCCACAAGCCTCTAGCTTCTCTAATCCTTTTTTTTTTTTTAAGGCGCCTGAGTTAGTGGTTACCACCCACCTCTTGCAAATGCTGGGAATTAATTTGTGCACTGTGCCAGAAAGGAACAGAGAAGATAAGTAGTTTCTTTTGCAAGTGCTGAACCAAGGGCCTTATCAAGTTCATCGACTGAAAGTACACTGTGGTGTTCAGCATGCTTTTTACTGCCACTGTTAACTGGAAGGAAGAGCACCAGTTGTTAGGGAGGAAGAGCAATCAAGTCGTAAACAGTAGCCTCTCCCTCATTCTCCCACCCTTCAGCAGAGGCTAGAAAAGAACAGGTAAAAAAGTAAAGGACCCCTGGACGGTTAAGTACAGTCAAAGACAACTATGGGGTTGCAGCCGCAAGGCTATTGATTGGGAAAAAATGGAAAAGTAGTATTATACCGACAAAAATAGAGTGGCTTGCCAAATTATTGGAGTACTACAATATATCCAAAACAATGGGAGAAATTGGAAGGATCTCAAAAGAGAAGATAGACAGGGACTGGAAGGTGTTTAAAGGATACTTGCAAAACCATATTGAAAAATCAGAACTCCTATTAGAATAAACAAGTTCCGTTTTAAATACTGGAATACTAAATAAGATGGATAACAATGTGTAATAGAAATTGTGTCCCACAATACCAAATACATATCCATAAAATACAAATTTCTCTGAATCTCGAGGCTTCCCCCAAGCCCATCCTAGCCATGGGTCCTATTGTCAACATTTCCAACTGCATATAATTTCATAGTCTGTGTTTTGTATCTATACGTATTGCCCATAGTGTTTGTTACATTACAAGTGAGATTAAAACCCTGCTAATGTTTTTGTTGGGATGCGGGTGGCGCTGTGGGTTAAACCACAGAGCCTAGGACTTGCCGATCAGAAGGTTGGCGGTTCGAATCCCCGTGACGGGGTGAGCTCCTGTTGTTCGGTCCCTGCTCCTGCCCACCTAGCAGTTCGAAAGCACCTCAAAGTGCAAGTAGATAAATAGGTACCAGTCCAGCGGGAAGGTAAACGGCGTTTCCGTGCACTGCTCTGGTTCGCCAGAAGCGGCTTAGTCATGCTGGCCACATGACCCGGAAGCTGTACGCCGGCTCCTTCGGCCAATAAAGCGAGATGAGTGCCGCAACCCCAGAGTCGGTCACGACTGGACCTCATGGTCAGGGGTCCCTTTTCCTTTAATGTTTTCGTCTGCTTACAGTGGTCTCAAAAACAGAGCTCAAAAACAGAGCCTCAATAAGGTGCCTCAATAAGACACCTCATGAGGTGCCTCAATAAGAAAGTGAGGTTTCCCTGCCCCTGCACCCCAAAACAAGCTGCGTTCTGTTACCCCCCCAGGAATGGGCGACTGTCCCCTTTAAGAATTGCAAGAATCTTACCCAACCATAAACTGTTGCTTTTGCACAGCGCTCTTTAACGTGAGATGCCCCCAGGCAAGACTTGCAAACCAGGAACGTGCTCAAACACCACTCTGTTTCTGGAGAAGGAGAGCCGGTGGCGCTGTGGTCTAAACCACTGAGCCTCTTGGGCTTGCCGATCGGAAGGTTGGTGGTTCGAATCCGCAAAATTGAGTGTGCTCCCGTTGCCTTGTCCCAGCTTCTGCCAAACTAGCAGTTCGACAGCATACCAGTGCAAGTAGATAAATAGGTACCACTGCGGCGGGAAGGTTAACGGCATTTCTGTGCGCTCTGCTTCCGTCACAGTGTCCCATTGTGCCAGAAGCCGTTTAGTCATGCTGGCCACATGACCCGTGATATAGAGAAAATAGGGGTGGTTGGCTTTTGTTGCCGAACTCCCCAAGGGACTAGAATCATAGAATCATAGAATCATAGAGTTGGAAGGGACCACAAGGGCCATCGAGTCCAACCCCCTGCCAAGCAGGAAACACCATCAGAGCACTCCTGACATATGGTTGTCAATCCTCTGCTTAAAGACTTCCAAAGAAGGAGACTCCACCACACTCCTTGGCAGCAAATTCCACTGTCGAACAGCTCTTACTGTCAGGAAGTTCTTCCTAATGTTTAGGTGGAATCTTCTTTCTTGTAGTTTGGTTCCATTGCTGCATGTCCACTTCTCTGGAGCAGCAGAAAACAACCTTTCTCCCTCCTCTATGTGACATCCTTTTATATATTTAAACATGGCTATCATATCACCCCTTAACCTCCTCTTCTCCAGGCTAAACATGCCCAGCTCTCTTAGCCGTTCCTCATAAGGCATCGTTTCCAGGCCTTTGACCATTTTGGTTGCCCTCCTCTGGACACGTTCCAGTTTGTCAATGTCCTTCTTGAACTGTGGTGCCCAGAACTGGACACAGTACTCCAGGTGAGGTCTGACCAGAGCAGAATACAGTGGCACTATTACTTCCCTTGATCTAGATGCTATACTCCTATTGATGCAGCCCAGCATTGCATTGGCTTTTAGCTGCCATGTCACACTGTTGGCTCATGTCAAGTTTGTGGTCAACCAAGACTCCTAGATCCTTTTCACATGTACTGCTCTCAAGCCAGGTGTCACCCATCTTGTATTTGTGCCTCTCATTTTTTCCCCCAAGTGCAATACTTTACATTTCTCCCTGTTAAAATTCATCTTGTTTGTTTTTGCCCAGTTCTCTAATCTGTCAAGGTCGTTTTGAAGTGTGATCCTGTCCTCTGGGGTGTTAGCCACCCCTCCCAGTTTGGTGTCATCTGCAAATTTGATCAGGATTCCCCTAAGTCCGCGATCAGTCAGAGATGAATGGATGGAGGTCAGGATGAAGTGAAAGCAAGGCAGATCTTTATTTCTCTTTTTGCAACAGAGTTTCCTCCCCTCCTGGCAAGGAGGCAAGGGAGACCCAGAATCCAGAAGAAAACCTCTTTTCCAGGGTTTGCATTTTGGCATGGAGAAGGACATCTACAAAAAGTCAGAAATTACATCATACTTCAGGTGGGGTTACTGTGGCTCAGGCAGGCCAAGGGGTGATATTCCTGAGGCTTTAGCAAGTTTTGCATAGTTCCAGACACAGTTTCCACAAAACATCCACATTTGATAAGACAATCAGGATGCCAGTCGGAGAACCTTCAATGCTGAGCATCTGAGCAAACAGTGACAATTAATACCAAGGAGGCTCATAGATATAGGAGAGGAATCCCTTCAGGAACGTCCCCTGATTAATATCAGGTAAGGGGGATTAAGGAGGCAGAGGAAATATTGAGAATCTTTAGGACATGGGTAGGCAAACTAAGGCCTGGGGGCTGGATCCGGCCCAATTGCCTTCTCAATCCGGCCCGCAGACGGTCCAGGAATCAGCATGTTTTTACATGAGTAGAATGTGTCCTTTTATTTAAAATGCATCTCTGGGTTATTTGTGGGGCCTGCCTGCTGTTTTTACATGAGTAGAATGTGTCCTTTTATTTAAAATGCATCTCTGGGTTATTTGTGGGGCCTGCCTGCTGTTTTTACATGAGTAGAATGTGTGCTTTTATTTAAAATGCATCTCTGGGTTATTTGTGGGGCATAGGAATTCGTTCATTATTTTTTTTCAAAATATAGTCCGGCCCCCCACAAGGTCTGAGGGACAGTGGACTGACCTCCGGCTGAAAAAGTTTGCTGATCCCTGCTTTAGGAGAGCCAAGATGGCTTTTCGATTGCTCTCCTGCACTATTTTAGACATGTGGTTGATATACTTACTCATGTGTGTTTTCCTTGTTGCAATTATCAACATTCATTCTATATTTGAGACCTTAGAACTCCTATAACAGACCCGGAAAGCTGTCTGCGGACAAACGCCGGCTCCCTGGGCCTGAAAAGCGAGATGAGCGCCGCACCCCATAGTTGCCTTTGACTGGACTTAACCATCCAGGGGTCCTTTACCTAACCTGACCTTTGGCTCCCCTGGGCAGTGTCCTCTGCTGGACACCCCAGCAACTTGTCCAGCCTGATTTCTGTGCAAGACACGCTGAAGCCCCAACCTCTTCCTCACAGACTTGTTTATCTGGCAGAGGTGGCCCATTTCTCTGACTGCAATGGGAAGGTGTTGGTTTGTGCATGTCCTGCCGCCTGCGCAGCCTCACTTCGCAGGATCTCTGCAAGAGGCCTTTGGAGGCCTTTGAACAATCTTGTGGGACTCTCATGAGATTTCGCGGGGCTCTCGTGAGATCTTGCCGGGACCCGAAACTCACCGCAGCTGTTAATCCAACAATAAGGATCGCCCACGAAGGCACCCTTTGGATTCTGCCACTGGCTGAGGGGACTCCCTCAGTCTGCTTCATGAGTGGGGCTGATCCTGTTATCTTCCCCACACCCCCAGTAACAATGCTTTCTGTCCTGCTTACGTGTGAAATCTCTCTAATGAAGCAAAGTGGAAGCCAAACATCCACTTACTGCAGCGACAAGACAAAGGAACTCCGTATTTCAACATGAAAATAATTTATTCCGTTGCACACAGGCAAACATGCTTTGACAGTGCTCAACATTTCTCGGTCAATAAATACATAAATAAAGACATCTCATGTGCAAACGCGAGGCTTCAGAATGGCATCTCTGCGTGAGGAATTCTCAAGTGAGGAAAACTTCAGGCTGTGCTGTGACAAACCATTTGAATAAATAAGATCCCCCCCCCAACTTAAATATGACTATTTTATAATAATAATAATAATAAAAATAAAAATCAGACAGAAGATTTCAAGGACAACAAATAATTACTTCAGATATGACCATGTGAATAAATAGGTTAGAAAGTGAAAAAATATATATATCTGAAAGGCACTTCAGATATGACAGATATTAACTAAATAACATTTCATCCCACCCTTCCTCTGTTGCTTGGAGCATCACACACAGCTCTTTCCCCCTCAACCTCATGAGGTAGATTTGGCTGACAAATACAGACCAGCCCAAGGCCATAGGTTGAGTTTCATGGCTGAGTGGGGATTTGAACCCGTGTCTCCTGGTGCTGTAACTACTAAAGTGATCAACAGTATGTAGCTGGCTCTCTTGATGCAACTGTGTTAGCTTTGCCTGTGCCCCAAGGGACCAGGATTTGCCAATTTGTACTATAATAATGGCTTGGTGTACACACAGTTTCACCACTATTGCTACTGCACTTAGCAATACATTCCACTTTCCAAATCACCTTGACTTAACCACCTCATCTTCCTGCTTCCTGCACAAGGCCTTCCTTTTACACTTATTTTAAATACATCCTTACAAAGGGTTTTCTATCAGCAAAGTTGTAAAATAAATACATAAATAAGACCAAAATATCCCCATTTATAAAAGGCTCTTATATAAAGTAGGCTTGGTAGAAATGGCTCAGCTTCTTTCAGGAAGCAAAACAGTAGAGATTCTGAAAGTTTTTTCCTTATAGCTGGGATTCTGCACTGGCTTGAGCCCTGGAATAAAGGAAAAGCGAGGAGAGGTTAGAAACAAGTCGACAGAATGGCCCGGGAGAACTGAAATAAGCTATTTGTAAAAAGCAAAAAACAGATGTTCAGTATCATTAAAGGTCTGATTCAGTTTATAGGCAAAGCTGAGACATGGAGTCATGCTTACTAACATCGTATGATAGGGTTTCAAACCTCTGCTTGCCCTCCTGCTTTCCCCTGGGGAAACCTGATCTTTAGTGCGAATTTGGAACAAAAAGCAATTGAGTGTTCCACGGATTGCTGTTTGTTCTGTTTTAGCACCGAAGAGGGGGTTTTCTGGAGGAAAGCAGAGACAAAAATGTTCAGATTCAGGCCTAGAGAGCTCAGGACAAGCAGAAAATGGCTCTGACCCATGTTTCTAGGCATGGGGAAAGTGGAAGTGCGCCCTGAGTCTCTGTTCAGATATGCCCAGTTAAGCCTGGTTCTTGCAAAGATTGCAGCAACGAAAATCATTCTCTGCAGGGGGTTGGACTAGATGACCCTAATATTTCAGGGACTTAGCCATGGTCTGTGGCAGGGATGGGGAATCGGCGGCCCTGCAGATATTGTCGAACTACAACTCCCATCATCGTTGCTTGTCCTCACTAGGGCTTATGGGACATCTGGAGGACCACAAGCTTGGTCCAGGGCTAAGGCAACGAAATATCTCCTTTGTGTATCCCGTTTTCTTTTGTTAGCCATTAGAACATTATAGTTATTGATCACAAGGTTTATGAACATTTGTCTGGTTGTGGAAGCAGCCTGCAAAGAGGGGCAGGTGAAGGATTTGGGGTATATCTGGAAGGAGAAGGGACAAATCAGACCCACGGGGACAATGGCACCTGGAAGTTTTCTTGCACAAACCTAATTGAAAATAAGCTTTGCAGCACAGTTTTAGGCATGTATGGGCCAGAGTCTCACTGTTTCCAATGGAGCTTACTCCCAAATATATATGTGCGTAGCATTGCAGTGTTCTTAAAACCAGAAGAGAATGACAACTTACTTATCAAGGATGGCTTTGATGATCACTTTCACCCATCTAGCTGTGGGCTCCAAGCACACTTCTTTCCCGTCCTTAAGAGTAGCACTGCAAGCAAAGGGAAACAGGAAGGTCAGGCATCTTCGTTGCAGAGTGTTACTTATTTGTTTATTTGTCTGTTTGTTTAGATTTATATAACACCCTTTGATACATTCATGATGCAAGAACATTGGCAAGAACCTAACTACTTGGTTAAATGTCTTAAATGGGGGGTGGGGCGTGCCTAATCCCCTAATAATCAACTTTTTAAAGAATATCCAGTTACAGTTTCAGCAGAATAGTTCATGATACCTTGCTATTTCTTTTCCACAACTGGGGAAGACACTTTAGGGAAGCTTTTAATGTTTAATAGACTATTGTATTTTAATATTTTGTTGGAAGCCACCCAGAGTGCCTGGGGAAACCCAGCCAGATGGGCGGGGTATAAATAATAAATTATGTTGTTGTTGTTGTTGTTGTTGCTGTTGTTACCCACAAGCACAATCTACTGGGAAACGATCCAGCTGGGAGTTTTAAACACATGGGAGTTGTGCAATGGGCCTTTTCGCTGCTGAACGTCTTGGTAGGTAAAGGTAAAGGGACCCCTGACTACTAGGTCCAGTCGTGACCGACTCTGGGGTTACAGCGCTCATCTCACTTTATTGGCCGAGGGAGCCGGCGTACAGCTTCCGGGTCATGCGGCCAGCAGGACGAAGCCGCTTCTGGCGAACCAGAGCAGCGCACGGAAACGCCGTTTACCTTCCCGCCAGAGTGGTACCTATTTCTCTACTTGCACTTTGACATGCTTTCGAACTGCTAGGTTGGCAGGAGCAGGGACCAAGCAACGGGAGCTCACCCTGTCTCTGGGATTTGAACCGCCGACCTTCTGATCAGCAAGTCCTAGGCTCTGTGGTTTAACCCACAGCGCCACCTGCGTCCTGTCTTGGTAGATGGGGCTCTAAATCTAGCAAGAGAGAGACTCAAATTTGAAAAGCGGACTTACATGATTTCGACGTTCTTGCAGTGGGGTCCGCTTTGGGTCAGTTTGACATCTTGAATGTGTCTGGTCGGGATGAACTTGGAATGGGTGCTTATGCATTGGCAGCGCAACTCGCTCCCGATCCGGGCCAGTGAGACACCTATGAAAGAGCAGAAGGATAGAAACCGGTTAAATGGGACAACTCTCTTTACGAAACATCTTTACACTGAACATCTGTACCCCTGCCCCCAAAGCACAACTTAAAAAACTGCTTTTCTCTAGGCCTCTTCCACGCCATTCAGCTGGTAGTGCCTCCTTGTATTTTTATGAGCTAGAGTCATAGAGTCATAGAATCGTAGGGAACCCCAAAGGTCCTCTAGCCCACCCCCTGCAATGCAGGAATCTCAACATTAGGGTTAGCAGCTACCCTAAACAGCGGACCGTTGCTCACGACTGCAGGTTTCATTTTAATTGATGCACCAACTTAGACATCATCAATAAAAAGCATTTCAATTTGGGGGAAGGCAATAGATACCTAAAAAACCTAATAATTTCCTACCCTCCCTGAATTTATTTAATAAACTATACCACATAAGTGAAGATATGCCCAAAGGAGCAATGTAAAACAAGGGTGGCAAACATATCTGCGGATTTGAAGCTCTGTTTATCTTAAGCATTCTTTGATTTACTTATTTTTTAATAATAATTTTTATGGGTTTTACATATAATCACTTTGCGTAACATCGTATTTAATCTCATTGGCTCACATTCTTCTTAACAAGCTTGAGGAACTGTTTCTGCGTTATCAGCTATTCTTCCCCCTCCTTATCCCTGTAGGATTGTGGTATCTGCGGCTACGGTCGTAAGCGCAGCCCCTGGGACTCTTTAAATAAAGTTCAGCGGGAATGTCTTGCTTACCTTCCGTCAGAGAGCTGGAGAGCACGAATAGAGCCAGAACTGCAACAACAACCTTGGAGTTCATGTTGAGGCAAGGAATTTCTCTCTTGGCTGCTGTCCTGAAAGGCAGGGTACTTGGAGTGCTTCAGAAGGTTTGTGTCTGAGCTCTGCAAGACCTGCTGCTTTTATACCATCTCACTTGCCCTGAAGTACCATGTTTCAACTCTGTCAGAGGAAATTCCCAGCGCAAGCAATTCACAAATGAGTCATTGGGAAATCTTGTGGTAAAGTCTCTTCCTATTGCGACTGAGTTCCTGCAGGAAGGAGAATTCGATCCAGCTTGGTGGCTTCTAACTCGTTAGATCTTTCTAAATATTCGTTATCAACTGAATACCATTTCTGCAGTTTCTTCATTTTTGTTTTTTTTATAAGGACCTGCACCTGTATAGGGAGGTTTCAGAAGTGGGGCAAAAGGTGGGGGGAAATCCTTTTCCCCTTCCAGCTCTCCACAAAGCTGTGTAGGGAAGTTTTTAATGTAAGATGTTTTAATTCGTTGGAAGCCTCCCAGTGTGGCTGGCGCAACCCAGTCAAGATGGGTGGAATATAAATAAATACATAAATACTGGTATATTATTATTATTATTATTATTATTATTACTACTACTACTACTACTATTATTATTTCTTATTTAAACTGATTTTAGAATGAATTGCTTTTAGAATGCTGTACAGTGGTACCTCGGGTTACATACGCTTCAGGTTACAGACTCCGCTAACCCAGAAATAGTGCTTCAGGTTAAGAACTTTGCTTCAGGATAAGAACAGAAATCGTGCTCCGGCGGCGCGGCGGCAGCAGGAGGCCCCATTAGCTAAAGTGGTACCTCAGGTTAAGAACAGTTTCAGGTTAAGTACGGACCTCCGGAACGAATTAAGTACTTAACCCGAGGTACCACTGTATTATTTTACTGTTGTTAACCGCTCTGAGCCTGGCTTTGGCCGGGGAGGGTGGGATATAAATAAATTATTATTATTATTATTATTATTATTATTATTATTATTATTATCCTCTGCTGAACCTACTCATGCCTGGCACCCGCTCAATCACACAGAACATATAAATGGCTGCAGTTTCATAGGAACTCACACCATTTGGTTGGTATTTTCACCCTAATGCAGCTAACAGCAAGAGGAATATCTAGTCTTTCTTGAAGGCGAAATGCCTGCGGATACGTAGCTGGGGAAGGAACGAGAAGGTGCCTCATTTGAGCAATCCACTATAGATTTTGGAAAGTGGTGTGGCCGTCCTTCTGTTCCCAATGGGTTCAGCCACCTCTCAAGGTATTGTCACCAATCTCAACGCAAACGTTCCTGAGGTGAATTCGCATTTGGATTAGCAAGATTAGCAAGATGGCGGACGGAAACATGACTTTGGCATGACTTTGGTCCAAACTCACCAATTACACTACCCATCTAAAAATGGCAATATTTTTTGGTTTCTACAGATTCCCAAGCAGCACCGGGCACTCCCCCGCGAGTTCAATATAAAATATATCACATGCGTAGGCTGTAATCTGCGCCGACATCTTTGATAGTATCTTATTGAATTGTGCAATTATACGCTGTGACGGATTGTGTTTCAGATGGATTTATTTTTAGCCTCTCTCTCTCTCACCTTCCTTTTGATGGCACTCCCGTCCGAGGTAATTTCCCCTAAAGAATAACCGTTTTGACTCCCACGAAAAAGCAGATTTCATGAGTAGGCTTGATTGCTAGCGTGGGAGTGCGATGTCAATACAAGACATATCCGTATGGAGCTGCCCCACCCTTCTGACTGATTCTGTCTTGACAAAAACCATCAGATTAAAGGAATGCCCGAAAATAGCACTTGTGCTTTAGGGACCAGCTTTAAACAATCCTCGTTTTTTTGGCTGAAGCAAAGAGCAAGTATGAGTAATGCCACTGGTTCACATTCATCCTTTCTCACCGGTGCCTTTGTTTCCCCTTGTTTGTCCCCTCCCCCACCCCACCGAGAGTAAAATTAGCCTTGGCGCTGATATTATACCCAGCTTTTGTCCTGCTGAAACCACAGGCAACTCCCAACTGATGCAGGGCTCACGTTCCAGTGAAATCGTGACTATTTGATCCAAATGATTTTTTATTACTGTATTTTAATATTTTGTTGGAAGCCGCCCAGAGTGGCTGGGGAAGCCCAGCCAGATGGGCGGGGTATAAATAATAAACTGTTGTTGTTAGTATTATTATTATTCCCGATTATTACAAATCAAGCCAAATTAATTTAATTGGACTACTTGGACTACTGCAATGCGCTCTACGTGGGGCTACCTTTGAAGGTGACCCGGAAACTGCAATTAATCCAGAATGTGGCAGCTAGACTGGTGACTGGGAGTGGCCGCCGAGACCACATAACACCGGTCCTGAGAGATCTGCATTGGCACCCAGTACGTTTCCGAGCACAATTCAAAGTGTTGGTGCTGACCTTTAAAGCCCTAAACGGCCTCGGTCCTGTATACCTGAAGGAGCGTCTCCACCCCTGTCGTTCAGCCCGGACACTGAGATCCAGCGCCGAGGGCCTTCTGGTGGTTCCCTCATTGCGAGAAGTGAGGTTACAGGGAACCGCCGGAGCGGTACCTATTTATCTACTTGCATTTTGACGTGCTTTCAAACTGCTAGGTTGGCAGGAGCAGGGACCAAGCAACAGGAGCTCACCCCGTCATAGGGATTCGAACCGCCAACCTTCTGATCGGCAAGTCCTAGGCTCTGTAGTTTAACCCACAGCGCTACCCGCATAGGACAGCAGTAAATGGTAATCCTGATTTTAACACTTCGGTCTGCCACTGTCACATTCAGCTGGCTTTTAGATTGTATGTTCTTACAAGGGTTGCTTTGTGCATGTTACTCTGCCATGTGGCAATGAACGAAAGGATGGCTCCCCATCCCGTGATGGTCTTGTTTGTTTTCCTTCATCTTACACCATGTCTCTTCTTCACCCAATGCACATTGCCTGATTTGTTTCTTTGTGCCTGTAACCCCCGCCTGCACATCCTATTCAACAAAGCTGGTGATCTTTCCTAATACAGAGACCTGCCAGCAGCTCATCGATCTTACGGGTGTCACTGAGACACAGCCCTGGGCTCCATCAGCGTTAGTACAAGTGAAAAGAACGGAATAGGTAGAAGGGTGTGTCAGGTGTTGCAACCATACTGCTGGGCACTCCTACATTTTAATCTTGGGTGCATCATTCCCCCCGAGACTCGTTACGCTGGCAAGTATCATCAAAACAGGAGAAAGCAGTTGCTAAGCCCATAGCTTTATCCAGACATCCGGTTCCTCCAAAAAGAGAATCAACATGCTCTCCAAATGCGCTTTCAGTACCGAAGCTTTCGTACCATAAAACTGATGTAAACAAAATCTGCTCCTTTTCCCTTAGAGCCCGTATAGAGTCCTTAAGTAGGTTCCCTATCAGTAGGAGAAAATAACAGAGGCCAACCAGAGAATATTGAGAAGCAAAGCGGCTAGTAAGCCTGATCTTTATTAAACTGTTGCAACAGGGTCCTCACTCACCACACGAAGGAGGGAGGAGGAACCCAGAACAATGGTGCGCAAGCCCTTATATAGACTTTTGAAATTGCCCACCCTGTAGCTCAAGACCACCCCCAAAAAACACCATACATACATCACAGAAGGAGGCTGTCTACAACAGAAATCCTGTCTGCCAGGATACCTGACAATGGCCAGTGATTGCTTACTTGGGCAGCCTGGCCATTCTTTTGTGATGGTACATACTTTAATTCCTGAATCCAGGTCACAGGCTCACCCTATTCATACCCAAAGATGCCCTTAAGACAGGTAAGCAAAAGACAATGGTGAGGCTTTCCCATTTCCTCCCTCCTTGCAGAGAAACATTTGAGGTGACACACGCCCCCCCCTACTGCGGTGATCCCAGGGCTCCCCGTTAAAGGGGTTGTGTTGAGGGGAGTCACTGGCCATATGCTGAAAGGTTGTCAGTGCACTCCACTGTGTTGCGGTGAAATGGGGGACAGGCTCTCTGCTTAAACATATGTCTTCCAGAGCCAGCCCAATCCCCAGACAGACTGGTTAACCCAGATGTGCCCCAGATCCCCGGCCGGGGGCTGGGATGGGATAAACGCCCAAGTTTGCGGGTTTGGCATAAGGAGATAGGATCTGCCCCTGCGATGCCCACCTGGTGGAAACCCAAGCTCACATGGCCCTTAAATGTAAAATGTATGATGATCTCCGCCAACAATTTCTAGAGATGGAGGTTATGCGCTTCTTATTACAGGGGAGAGACCAGGAGCTCACCAAGACAGCAGCTAAGTTCCTCTATTTGATTTTTTTGTCGCCGAAATATGCTACAGGATCCTGCCCTTGCTGGAAACCCACAGAGATGAGGTGGGTCGCTCGCCTCTTCTGCCCTTTGGCAGGTGACTGTGCTGTTGGGGTGGCAACAAGATCACACTGGCCTATCTATTCTGAATGTATTCTGAATGTTCTTATGTGATGCCAATAAAGGTTACTTGACTTGATAAACGCCCAAGGCCTAAGCCAAGGTCTTCCTACATCTGAAAGTTTAATAAAGTTGTGGCCAATTTTAATCCCATAACACGTTGTCACGAGTCATTATTCCACCTGGGTGTAACCTGGGGTTGGGGGGTCTCCACCTGGGCATGCGATGTCCTATATTGCCATAGGTCTGGAAACTGACAGAGCCAGCCTGACTGCACATGTGAACCAAGTGATTGACTAAGAAGCATCAATCATTGGTTTCTGAAACCAGGAAGAACAGAATTCCAATAAAGAATGGGGAAAATATATAACTTAGGTAAAGGTAAAGGGACCCCTGACCATTAGGTCCAGTCATGGCTGACTCTGGGGTTGCGGCGCTCATCTCACTTTATTGGCCGAGGGAACCGGCGTACAGCTTCCGGGTCATGTGGCCAGCATGACTAAGCCGCTTCTGGCGAACCAGAGCAGCGCACAGAAACGCCGTTTACCTTCCCACCGGAGTGGTACCTATTTATCTACTTGCACTTTGATGTGCTTTCGAACTGCTAGGTGGGCAGGAGCTGGGACCAAGCAACGGGAGCTCACCCCGTTGCAGGGATTCAAACC